AGAGAGAGAGAGAGAGAGAGAGAGAGAGAGAGAGAGAGAGAGAGAGAGAGAGAGAGAGAGAGAGAGAAGTGAACAAGAAGACAAGGGAGACAACAAGAGAGGGACGGAGAGAAATAAGGGGGACAGCAGAAGGAATGAAACAGAAAGAAGAGGAAGGGGGAGGGAGCGGGGGGGTAAGAGAAAGGGTTAAGGGAGGGGGGGAGGGGAGGGGGGAGAGAGAGAGAGAGAGAGCAGACAAGTGCTCATATAATTCAGATTTAAGAAGCAAACCTCAGGGCGAAACAGCAAGAACACGCAATCATTGAATTGCACTTCAGAGAAGTCTTGTTCTCACCGCCAATGGCGTAGACAGGTCGGGGACTTCGCTTCACAGCAAAGAGTGCAGAACTGCATGCAATGGTGCTGCTGCCACCAAAGAGAACCTCTGTGTTTTGCTGCCAACGAAGAGCAGATACCATTCATGGCATGACAACTCCAATCCAAGGAAGCACTGCCATCTGAAATTCCCCAAGGCCGGAGAAAGAGACCCTGACGAAGCTACTGCATGACTCCATGCTCCAATGTGACCAAGAATCAGAGAAGCATATGGTAGCCATGGCGTCACCGATGCCAGACGTTGCAGAAAGCCATCTTCCACTCTTCCAGCAATCAACTCGAGTAACAAATTAAATCAAACTGTTGCAGCAGTGTCTTCCCGCTCTATCTACAGCCGACGTTGATTAGCAGATCAGAAGAGTTAACAATCCCCTGTCAACAATTGCGAACCAAGACAGAAAACAAGGCCAAAAACGTCAAATTGCCGCCGAATTTTCCGGCCCTCCGTTAACAATCTGTCGTTCAGAATTGGCTCAGCAGTAGACTGCCTGGCAGGGATCTGTCAAGTACCGTACTGTCCATACATAGTTCAAACACCTCTTCCACTGGATGCAATCTAGAGCCAAACAATCGCAATTGAGTTGAGGGGAAATGGAAAAGAAAAAACTTCAAAAAAGCCAACCTAACATAAAGCTGAGTTTCCAATTGAAACTTGAAAGATTAACATCTATGCACAGCCGTTCCACTGATTCAGGATTCCAATTTTTTTGTGCTCACAACAGGTAGCATAATATCAAATATAAATTAAATAATACCATTACAATAACTGATGAAACCACCACTCCATCCAGGACTCGTTAACCAACATGCGAGCCAATTACTGCCAAAATGGCATGGTCACTTGGTAAGTGATTTGCATGATGGCACCAGCCTTTTACATCCTGCAGGAAGCACCACTCTGTCCAAACCTCTTTCTTGCAATGCGGATTTTGCCACGTGCCAATTCCTGCCAAGCCACCGGCATGGCAAGCGATTTGCCTGGCGACACCCGCCTTTTCCATCCGGTACACCCAACCCGCGGTTTTGCGGCAAGTTAACAGGTGTGTGGTAAAAAAAACATTTGGGAAACGGACTGGCGTACCCCAGTTGGTTCGCCCCTGAACTGTTGAAACTTGAAACGCAAACCCGAGCTCGAACTCCGTGGGAATCAGATGGGGTGACATGCATGGAATGGGTGGGGAAATGAAGTAAGACAGGTGCCAAGGGAACTTTTGTCGCACTTCACTATCGTAAACCAGGTCCCATCCTTAACTACCCTGGAAGTTACACAACCAGGCAGAACCAGGTTTGGATATTTCGTGTTTCGTTACCTATTTAACCATACCAGTTTTGTGTGTGTTGTAACGGCACATGTAGCCCATGCCAATAATGCCATTTACTGAATTCATTCATGGGCACGGCAGCTTTCCGTATTCATCCATGCTATCTGATTTATCATGGTTTTTCACTTTTTTAGTCAACCTCCTGGAAATACACTACATGCAAATATCCAAATAATGATTGAATGCGCTAGAACTCGCCATCCACGAATACGAGTGTCGCTGTTCATAAGACTGCAAACCCTCTGAAGTCGACTCAATTGACTGAAAAATACGAAGTCAGACCCAAGAGCCTAGCTCAGTGGGTACACCATTGAACTGTTGAAATACAGACCCGTGTGCGAACCTAGATGATGACGGGACCTGGTTGATGAGTAAAACCAAATATTTCTGAATTCCCTGGGGCCGGTCAGCTCAATGATGATATCTCAAGACCGTCGCCCTTTTAAAAGAAATAAAAATATTAAAAGTAAAATAGGAAGTCAGTAGGTAAATTGACTTCCTACTTGACAAACGGAATCCAGGCCAAGGCGCCAATGTCATTTGGCTACAGCGCAATTGACTCAAAAAAGGGGAGGCAACCATGAGGTAGCATATTGGCCTTTGTTTGTCAGATGGCGAATCCTTTTCCTCATATCAATTAGGGAAAGAATGCCCCCTGCTCGTTGACCGCGGTGTCCAATTTTCGTTTCTATAAAATGTGCAAGTGAGCGCTGTCCCACAGCGTGGCACATCTCATCTGACAAGCAAATGTCCTTGCTCTCAAATGGGCAAGAAATTGGACACCATCAGCTCCCGGAATAGCCCGCCTGACAAAGGGCTCAGAGTACTATAACCAAGACATCATTACTGCACAAGGGATAGAGTAGTCAGAATGCTGACCAGGACACCAGGACACCATTACTGCCCAGTCTCGTTCGACTGGCTAAGGCATTCGGCGATAAATAGAGTATCCCGTATACCAACCATGGAAGCGGTGTATAGGTCAACCACAGACAGACTCGAGGACGCCTACTTCAGATAGGTACTCTGGACCGCGAGAAAACGAAGGTGTAATAAGTTAGTAATAACCTGATGAGCAACCGAAGACCCTTCGCCATGGCGCTGCGGACTTTCTCCAGAAGAATTGGGAATTTCTGGTACCGCTGGCATTTCCTATTGAAAGATGATTCACTGTTGGGCGGTACACCTCATATTAAGGGAGTCTGTTTACGCTCAGGTAGGGGGAAAAGAGAGATTTTTTTTGCCTGAGGCTGCGGGGTCCAGGATGGACCTGAACAGGAAACAGGGGTGCAAACGGCAGTAGAAATCAGTACTTACCTTCTCTGGGAACGTTGGTTCCTATATAGGTCGGAACGTCTTGTAAGAATCAGCTGAGCCATTTACCAGGTTTAACTGGACAAAAGCGGGCAGTGGTTCAGCTGGCTGAAATCACATGCTAGACGCCTCCTGCCGCAAACAAGGACCCGCACCGATGGACTTCGTCGACCCAAACGGACAAACGACAACAAGAAAAAAGGCCCAGGTGTATCCTTTCAAACACCAAAGGAGATGTGCAATCTCCCCCACCAATCACTGCCTAGCTGTGCAGAGAACCAGTGCCAGCTAATCCTGCCCGTGAGCACTTTCACAAAGCCCTATGGCATCCAAAATGGGGTCCTCAATCAGGCATCTAACAGCGACAGTTACGCTGAAAATTGAAATAGTCTACAAAGGTGTGCGTTAAAGATGGTAGAGAGTCTAGAGACGGATGACCCGCGTGTCAGAGCCCCAACGCTGCACAGACACATAACAGAATCAGTTACAGACTTTGGCAGACACTGTGCCATGCTCATTGGTAATGAGCAAGATACTGCCAATCTGGCCCCATCCCATGCCATGCCCCCACTCAGCAAGCGCAAATTAGACTCGAAAAGGGTATGCTAGGTTCGAACTGGCTTCGAACAAACATAGTACCAGTGGGGCATGGCAATCATTCATAACAGTTAGCAAATTAGCATGAACTTCTCGGTTCTGTTGTTTTTTTCTTTTTTTTTCAGATCTGTTGAATGATTGAATCTGTTCTTTTTTTTCTTTTTTTTTGTCTTCTTTCCAACTCTTTCAAAGAGCAGTGATGCCATTTCATTTATAATTTCTTTGTAGTATGCGTACAGATATGGCAGAAATCCTGAGCTCTCGATTGGCAGCTTGAGAACCTGATGCATTAGCTGGACTAGGGTATAGTCGGTATACTCGCACTAGGCCTTTACTCGGGTGCTTCTCATCCCAACTACAGCAGGTGCTCGACGTACGCATGACACCAATTACATACACAGCTCATCCATAAAAGTCCTCATGTGAGTACGCTCAAAGCAGCTTTTACCCCTTCTTTTCTCAAAAGGGGGGAGTCAGACAGATTCTGATCTAGCCTACTCCATCCTGAGCATGCAAGATTGTCGTCTCCTGAAGCATACAGAAAATCAGGGAGTCATTTTCCGTCCTATTACCTTCCTTGCTCTTCTTGATTTGTCATTCACATGAATTGCTAGAACTTCCGACGCAACCTAACTTTCAGCTTGGCCACCACTACCACTTATCAGCAGTGGAAGGCTCGTAAGAGCAGTCTCCCATGGATGGAACATGCGGTCATTATGTCTGCATTTGGGGCAACTTTCAGTCTAGATACAGTGATAAGGACCATACGCATTCCGAGGGAAAAGGTAGCGACAGCCTTCAAGAACTCGCACGGCAACTGCCATTTCAAGACTCCAAGAACTAACGCATTCCGAGGGAAAAGGTAGTGACAGCCTTTCTGTTGAAGGCAGAATGATAGCACAATGTGGTTATTCGATCTTATTCCTGCTTCGCATGCCACTGCAGTATGCAGCAAAAAGTGGTTGCAGCTTTTCAGAGCAGCAAGGGGTCTTGAGAAGCGCATCAACCCAAACCGATGAATGTGAGGCCTCCAGGCATGAGAAGTTAGAGTCTCTGATTCTCCCGAAAGGGTACGATCATCCACAAAATGAGGGGTGTCGGCACATTTCAGGCACCAGCCTCAGGCCATACACATTGGATTCTAAATATAGCAACAAAAAATCTTCTTTCCTTTCTAAGGAGAGGTGTGTGGGGCCATAAAAAAAGGTCCTGTGCTGCACACTCTAGGATCGATGCCTCCATTTCCTGAAAGGATGTGGCATTCCACGAAACGCCATGTGTCAGAAAAAAAAGTCAGATCCATTGTAGACCCTCCTCAGAGATATGGGCCAAATCGAACAGAGGTAAAATTGTACTAAATTCCCTGTTGGGAGACTGGTCTAAAGGCTCTAAAGGTAAGCCATCTGGTCTAAACATCAGCCAGATTCATGCTCACAACGGGCAACAATTACGTTCTGCTCACTACAGTGAGGCTTGATCATTAGACCCTCACCCAATTTGTAGATAAGCAGGTACCCCTTAATAAAATAGACCTGCAGAAAATACTTTCCAACCAACATATAAGCTCAGTACTGTGATCCCTCATTTGATCAAGGTCAAGGATATCGTTCCTAGGGAAAACGTGTCCCGTTGGATGACGTTAACGATCAAGTATTGATCAGAGTTCAAACTGAATCCCTCTCGTGTGATATAACTGCATCCTAGGACCAGTGGCAGTCGAGTGATGAGCGCATTTCACATACAGAATGCACCCCAGACAAAGAGGAAGACATACTTGGCTACGGTACAACCTACCGTGCAGTGGAGGGATTGAGACACAGATGAAGGCAAGCATTGTGATGCCAATAAGAAGCAGAGGGTGGATGATGATGATGATGACAGTGACTGTGATTTTCTTTCAGCAAGCCAGTGGCAAGCAACAACCATGAGGATTGTCACCATGGTGAAGATTACTACCGGCAACCATGACAACACTGCCATAAATTGACTGCGGTTGATGAGCAACTAAGTCGGTGCCAACAGGCACAGGGAGTATGCAGCAAAGCAAACACACACACAGCCACACAGAGAGAGAGAGAGAGAGAGAGAG